TTTTTTTTTTTTTTTTTTTTTTTTTTTTTTTTTCCACGAAAACTTGAATTTATTAGTTATGATAATAGTCATTACATAGCACTTGGGATAACCAGAAAGGTATATAAGAAGAAAAAGATATAATCCATGTTATGTTTCAGTATAAATGGTGTTTGAGGTTTTTACACAATGATTAAAAAAAAAAACAATTTTTTATACAATTACATAAATTATCATTAAATAAAATTAGTTAAACCAATAACGGTACTTGTTAGGCTAGTACATGTGTTCCAGAGAAAAATAATTAAAGACGTTACTCCAACTGTCCATCATTAAGTTGCAGTTTGCATTTTAGACTTTAGTATTATTAATAATACTATAATTACTAAATTTTATATATTAAGAAAAAATATGTGAAAATATTAAACAAAGTATAACAATCAGTATTAAAAAAAAACAATATAAAAATGTCAATTAAATATCTTTAATTAAAAATTTATAAGAAATAAAATGATAAGTAGTAAATGTAATGTAGAAAGATTAAACCTGTGATTATATAATAATAAAGAATAAAATAAAAAGTAAATAACATTTCGAAAAGTCTTTATACAATTTGAAGAGATAAGAGTTGGTTGAGGGGATAAGAATTATGAGCAAGCAAATAGAACACAATATCCCACATACCAATCTAACGTCTCCACGTGGCCTAAGCTAAACACTGTTTATCCTCGTTGAAAGTTATTACGTACCTGCAATCTGACAATACCGGAGGAAAACGGAGGCGGTTCGGACTTAAGGTTAGAGACGGCGGTTATCAACCCCTCCGTTGCTGCCTCTAGAGACGTAACCGTTGATAGAGTTCTTGTCTCTACCGTGCCAAGTGGCGCTTTATGGTCAGCCTTACACCCGTTCATGGTCAGGGAACAGATAGGAGGAGGACACGAGAGGATAATTTGGTGGATAAGACTGGAGAGTAGCTTTGGAAGATCGGAATGAGTTCTGTTCTTTTTATGGTTTGTTCCCAGAAAATAAAATGAACGTTGAAACGACGCCATTATATATTAATTAAAGACTATATAGTATAATAAGCTATGTATGTGTTTATTTGTTATGGTAGGCACGTCTTTGTCTAAATATATAGATTTCATGACCCTCACGTAAGATTATGTTTGGTTCCAGAAGAATGTTAACTATGCTCATAATTTTTTGTTTTACTTTTCATCTACTATAATATTTATTCATGTAAGGAAAAATATTATCATAAACGATTGAATATATAGATTTAACAATCTTATAAACTGATGGTCACGATCTATAGAGCGTATTATTTTTTTAGAGAATGTAAACCTAACTTGGAATGATGTAATCTATACATTATATTTATATTTTGTAGTTTGAAGTTACACATACATTCGTGGATCATGCATGAACCTTTTTAACAATCCTTGAAGCCAAGCCACCAGCTACATTTAAAAGATTTTTCAAGTTTTTCATTTATTCGTTTTAAGTTTGACATGTACACATTTCGAATAAAAAAAAAGAGAGTTTATTGGTATGTACACATTACTTCCATAAACTCCAACAACAAATTAAAATCATGATTAAAAACCAAAGTATGATGAACTAGGAAACTAGTAAAACTAAACAGATATACCAATGTATTATATAAGAACATGATAAGCCCTTACTTCAAGGGCTCTTCTCGGCTTCATTTCTAGTCATATTATCTATCTTTAAGTCGCCGCCTATGATGGAAGATAGAGCAGTCGCCAAAGCAGATTGGAAATTTGGATCTGTCGTGATTGCCTTGATTGTTTCTGCTGGTAAAGATTGCACTTGATGAGTAATATTCTTGAAATTTACGGGATCAAGGTGTGGAGAAGATGAGGAAGATCTTCCAAATGGGTCAAAAGATAATCCAGCGGTTCGGGTTTGAATCATATGTTGGTAAGGTGATTGTTGATGCGTGCTAATGTTGCCGTAAGGTGCACGGTATTGCTCACTACGATTACTACCACCACTACCTCCCCAGTTCATCAATGTGTTGGTGTTGTTTGAGAAGTTGAGATTAGTTGAAGGGTAACTAGTAGCTCTTGAGACATTACTATGAGGAGCACTGAACTTATTGAGCATTGATATGAAAGGTTGCTGGGAGGAAGAGGAGGTTGTGAGGTCGAGAGTGACGGTGGGATGGCCTGAAGAAGAAGGAGGAGAAGTTTGGAGGAATGTTTTTGGAGTGATGCTGTTGCTGGAGAGAGAGAAGTTAATGCCATGAAGATCGGCTGAGGAGGAGGAGGAGGAGGCTCCGGAGAGGAGCATGGAGGCTGCGGCTGAAGTGGCGGAGGCCATGGCGGTTGCTGACATGGGAAGTGGATGGCTGTGTGTTCCTTCGTAAGTTGAGATGAGTATAGACATATCTTCTGAACATCTTTGCACCTAAACAAGGGATTTGATAGATATGGTTAAGTATTTTTGATAACATGTATAAGGATATCTATATATATGATTATTTTATTTATATTTTTTATGTCTTTATAAATTTTTTTTTTTCTTAAAATGCTAAGATTTTGGAATTGGAAAAAGTTATGATCCACATCTATATGATTTTAATTAATAAATTTAAAATTTATATCAGAATATTTTATTTTATTGTTAATTTGAATAATAATAATTGTAAAAATTAATTTTTAATCAAAATTTATGTTTTAATATTATAAATATATCATTTAATATAAACAAAAATATAAAATAAATACATATGTCCGGTCAAAGTCTAGTTTAGAATTATTATTTTAGATTTAATCACCTGTTTTCTTACGGGACAAGAAGGTGCAATGGTACAACGATAATAAGCTCGAGGACATGGATTCCCTTTAGCTATTTTCTGGCCATATTTCCTCCACTGACATCCATCGTTCATCTACACGAACACAAACCCAAGAAAATAAAAATACTTTTATCAAAAAATCAAACGTTAAATACCTTTTTTGTATAGTCGTTTAACTTATATACTTTAACAAAAAAAAAAATTAACATTCAAGGTATGAGTTGTCAAAAAAACATTCAAGATATGAACTATTTCACAGTTTTCTCGTCTAAAATAACTTAGAACTTAAAGACTGCATACAATAATTTTGTTTCACTATATATATATCCAATAAAAAACTATGAGAACCAAGAATTATACTATACATGTTAGTATTCATACTAAATTAAAGATGTGAAGGAAACGTTACTAACCGTTGGTGTCTCACATCTTGCTCTCACAGAAACCCTAGTTTTCTTAGCAATGTTTTGAGGCAAAAGCTCATCTTCATCTTCATGATCATCTCCATCATTCTTAAACCCAAAACTATTCTCTGATGGGATCTTATTACTGTTACTAACCTCCAAAGAAGTCTTTTCTTGATTATGGTCAAACTCTAACTTCTCACTACTCAAATCTTTGTATTCAAATCCCATACTTAACCCTTGTTCATTAATTTTCTTGCCATCATCGGTTTCCTCCATTAAATCTTTCTTTTTCTCTTCTCTATTCGTCATTGAGCCACTAGGAACCGGTGAGTTTGACCGTCTACCTAAGCTCAATAAGACAAGTTCTTTTTCTTTGTCTTCATCTTCTTCTTTGTGTTGATGATGGCCTTCATGTTGTGCCATTAATTGGTTGTATTGTGTTTGAAGGATCTCAAACTCCTTTTTTGTCCTACTCAATGATGTCTTTAACCTTCGGTTTTCCTCTTTAGCCTCCTCCATTTCGACTTTAATTGAGTCCAACTGATTTCATCATACATTTATAATATATGATTAATCAAAATATATAACATATACAAATATTGATTGATTGGTTAATCGTTCATTGATTTGATATGTATGCCTTATAAATCCTACCCATAGTGGTAGCTTTCTTTCTCATAATTATTGTTGTTGTTGTGACACATGTGAGAATTCTTCTCTGGTGTAACAGACATGATCATATTAATTTGAAAATAGATATGAACGTCTATTCAACAAATTAAACCAGAAAAAGGACAAATCTAACAACTAAGAGGTTCACAGATCTAGCTAACTAAAATTAAGAATTCAAATATAATTTAGCTTCATTGACTAAGATAGATCAGTGATGCCGTCAAAATATAATAAAAGACGATTAAGATAAATCAGTGGTTAAGAGTTTCGGATAAAGAACAAACCATTAACCAAAAAAATTCATTTGAGAGAAAAAATATATGAAACATGCGTATATGACTCCAGGGTAGATTTATGCATATATATAACATATAATTAGCTCAATATTGAACAAGAGATCAGTTATGTTACCTTGGATCTAATAATATGGTCGTGTTCTTGATGAGAATCAAGATTTCTCATCTCGTCGATTCTTTCTTCTCTTCCATGGCCACTCCTCAAGAACTCTTCCTTCTCCATTATTCTCCTTTGATATTCTTTTTGAGAGCTCTCATAATTATTTTTGGAACTGCTGATTTTATATATGCAACCGATACATCCTTTGACTATATCAATTAAATAATCCACAAATTCTGCAAGTTTCTTATATTAAAATTGAGAAATCTAATCTATATATTACCAAAAACTTGCCAAATTTTATCTTCACATATAGCATACATATTATATAAAGATAAAGTAAAAATCAAAGGACATAGTCTTTTGTTTGATTAGCACTCTATTGCAAAATTATAATAAAAAAATACCAGTTTAAAGAATTTTTGTAGACCAAGACTAGAGTGAATAAGCCTTGTACATAAATGGACTAAACTGAATATTTTTACAATCTATATGTACACATTTTTGGCTGCAATGTTTCAACCATCAGAAAACACAAGCACGCAACTCTGAAATCTTGAAAGGTCAACAGCCAATCCAGTTGAACTAAACAAACAAGTTAAAATAACAAAGTATGACCAAATTGAAATGGGATATTAAATATTGAATATTTGTTTTTTTTTTAAAACAACACAAGTACTTAAAACAATTAATCGTGCATACGATTTATTAGGAAAAAAGAAAGAAACATTGTGTCGAGTAAATGGAAAAGAAAGAAATATTCAACTTCAACGCCTATGTTTAGTTATTATATACATCAATGTCTCAACTAATAATTTAAGCAAAGAAAAAATGTCTCAACTAATAAACACTGTTAAGGTTTGGAGCCGAAATCAAGGACCCACCGGCCGACGTTGCTGCTAAAGAACAACGTTGAAATTTCTTGATTACATGGTACAAGTTTATCTCAAACGAACTATTTTTTTTTTGGATTTATAACTTGTACTTTAACATGCAACGTATGTTATCAACAAAAACACATGTATATAATCACGTAAAATGTTGTTGGATCTGAACTCAAAATGCAAAATAACATTGTTGGTAATGATGATACACATCGCTTGGAAAGACTGACTATATCATATATAAACGAACATCTTAATATTTTTTTTAAAAAAACCGTCATGATTTGAGGTAATAATAGATACATGATCTAAAAGTCAAAGTTGGTAAACATCACACTAAACATATGGATCTGTAACGTACATTTATGATCGTTAACAAAAAAGAGCTTATAAAGCTGTAAATCTAGACCAATATATAAAATGAATATGTATATATATCTAATTAACCACTCTTGCAATTTTAGAATCATTCAAATGACACTGTTACAATAAAAACTCCAACCAAAAGTTTAATCAATTTCAAATTGCTTAAATAATTAAGTTTGGCAGTTTGTGTCTTTGTTTAACGAAGTCTTTTTTAAAATATCCCCAAATGGTTAAACCTTTTGTCAAAAAAATATCCCCAAATGGTTGGTAGACATGGGATTGTATTAGTCATATATAAATATAGAGTTGTATCCATCAAACATGATGAATGTGTTTCAGGGACATGTGATTAAATATTACAACTACATATTTTTAGTGGACCACGATCTAAGGACATTTTTTTGCTGGTTGCGTATTGATATGCATATGCTGCCATTTGACATTTTACAATAATTAGTCAACCTGTTGACTAAGATTTATAAAGCCCTTAATTGTTTCGATTTATAACTTTTTTTCTTTCTAAAATCAGTGTTTTTACGTCTGATCTAGATCCGCAGTCGGATTATAGTAATCCGATAAATAATCGGATTTAGATTTTAAGAAATATTCACTAATTAAAAATTTGATAAAATTCACTAAAAATCTTTAAATCCGATGATGTGACTATCTGTTAAACTATCAAGAGTGTCAGTGAATTAATAGTTTTCAATTAGTTTTTTTTCTTCGATTTTAGTTACTTTATTAAATATTGTTTGTATTCTAAAAATAAGAAATTATGTTTTTACTTTTAATTTTTAGTATTCTTATGAAATTTGTTTATCTTTACTATCACATATACTTTATATCTTATTCAATTTTCTTTTAATTGTTTTTTTGCTTATTTTGATTTATGGTGAATAATATTTATTTTTAACCTTATAGGTTTTAACTTCTAGCATATAAACTTTATTTGTTCTTTTCGTGAATCACATGTTTTTTATTAAAAATGTTTCTAAATAAATACTATTTTTGTGAATCAATTTTATTCATCTTATTCAATTTTATAAAATCATATATAATATTGAATAAACTATTTATTGTCATGTTTAGATTCTAATGAACATTCCACTATTCCTCCTAAGAAAATATATATAGTGAAAAATGATAAATGTCTGAAATTAAATGATTTAAATCTTGTTAAGCTCAATTCCTAATTTTTTACAACAAAATTGTAAAATAATTTAAAATATTTTATATGTGAACTAAAAATAATATGAAAATAAAAATAAAAGATCAGATTTAAATATTTTCTATACTATTTAAGAAATATGAAATTTCTCTTATATTTAAAATAGATAATACATAATTATATATTAAATTTAATATATATAATGATCTGTGGTTCATCTGCGGTCCTAGAAAGTTGTTTGGTTCAGTGTTCGGGTTAGGTTTAAAAACATTGGCTAAAAATCCATAATAATTAAACTAATGCATGGGTATATTTGGAAATACTAAAAAATCAAGAAATAATTGCTTAGATTAATCGCTGGCCTTCTCTTGGAGCATAATTAACATGGAGATTTAAGTGGAAGTGGTGGGTCTCATTATTTTTGCAAAAATCGGTTTTTAGAGGTGTGAAATAAAGACCGATGTTGGAGGGATTTTTGTACTGTTCGCGGGCATAACCGACACATGCCAGTCTGCGATTGGTTCGCTTTTTAATTTTTTTTCAAATAAAAAATAATAAAAAAAAAAAAATCTTAAGAAACCAGTTCATGGTTTCAGCCTTAATGATGGTCTTAGATTGCTAAGCAAATTGTTGTTTGCGGGGAATCTCCGTTGTTTTTGATCTAGATATTTGTTTGCGTAATCTACAAAAGTTATGGGTTCGGGATTAATTGGTTTGTCTTTGTTATTACAGAATTGAGGTAAAGTTTGATCCTTTTCGTTTGGCAATGAGGCTGTCCGAAGTTATCTCCAACACTGTAGTGTGGTTAAGGTACGTGAAGAATGGGAAAGTCAGGCTTTTGTTGGCTTGAGCAACACAGAGCTTTTTAAAGAAGCCTAAAGTTGCTGAAGAGGCTTCTTCCGTCTTGCTGATATTCTCCCTCCATCTTTGTCTTCATTACCTGTTAAGTTATGATGTTTTGTAATCATTTCATGACAAGGAGCAGTAAAGGTTAAGACTTTACCACAAGCTAGACTAGAAAAAGAAAAAATGAACAGTCCAAAAACTCTTAGAAAGAGCATATGAACTTTGAAAAGAGAAGTTTTTTTGCAGACTTCAATGGCAGTCTTGCTAATTTGACACTGGTTGTGCCTTCGTTTCATCTCACACCTCAAGAACTTTGCTGCAAAATCCAACGGCTAATAGTATAACCACGCGCCTCACTCGAAGAAGAAGGAGAGGGGCAAAGGATGATGTAGTTTGTCTGGCAAATGCTTTGTAAACACGCAGCTGAGTTTACTACACTTGTTCCCGAAGCAAGCTACAATCTGGGGACTACCCACCTCCTACCTTTCTTTTCTCACCCTTCTTCATTTATTTTTATTTAATTATTTATTTATTACCAATTCTTTTTTTTTTAATTTTAAAATAGAAATAAATAAATTATCTCTCTTTCTCTTCGTGTTCACTGAACTGAAGCCTCCTCACCGATGCTCTTAGAGAGATTGCAAAATGGAAAGGCAGCTTTAACTTCAATCCTGTCACGGTAAAATGTTGTCTTCTTCTTAGTTTGTTGTCTGATTCAGACAGGAGATCCGACATGTGCTTACCGACATTTCTTGTAATAGTTTTAAGTTCAACTACTGAGGAGTTTTCTTTTCTTTTTGTTTCTTTATTTATATAAAGAAATCTAGAATCATTGTGTTGTTTTGTTGATTCTGAGATCAGGTAGTGTGGATTTGAGATCAGGTTCATTTACTTTGTAAGGTGAGTTCCAGATCTGGTGATTTAGTTTCCTTTTTAAGGTATAATAATCATTGTATTTTTTTTTCTCTCTTTCTTGTTTGATCCCATTGCTTAATGATTGTGTGATCTATGATTAAACCTTATGATTACAGCTGATTATGTATATAATAGAAAGTACAAATCTTTAGCTCATGGACGAATGATTCCTCTTTACTCAAGTCTTCTTTATAAACAAATGGCTGATCCTTTGAACTTAGCATAGTGAATCCTATTACAAACTGTTTGTACATCTCTTCATTATCCAAAGTTGCAATCTTTTGTTCTAAAAAAGTGATTGGTTGGGGACAAATGCAGGAGGTGTTTTTGAGTTTTGGTTGTGGACATCATGGGAAAGCCTGCAAGGTGGTTAAAAAGTGTATTACTTGGAAAGAAATCATCTAAGTCTAGTGGTTCTAAAGACAAGGAGGTAACGCTTATAAAAAATATAAATTAAGATTCTTTCTGTCTACAGTTTGTCTGTGGTGTCACTTTCTGATGTTCTTTCTCTTTGTTTTGTCTGTTTCTAATGGTTATCATGCGCAGAGAGTTGTGAATGGAAAAGAGATAGTGGTTGTTTCAAAGATTGAAGAATCCGATGTGGTTTCGGATCTTCCATCCTTTGGAAATGCAACAGTTTCCACCAGTGCTGTGGTAGAGACGCATAATACAGAACATGAAGTGGTTTCAGACGACGAGATACAACTTCCTGAGGTCCAAGTCCAACCAACAGACTCTCCAAATGCTGCCTCTGTTGTTGTACCTGATGAGTCTCTATCAGATTCAGACAAAATTCAGCAAGAGATTGCAGCAACTACTCTGCAGGCTGCCTTTAGAGGCTACTTGGTAATATTGTTAAGCTCTTGATTTGTACTTCTTGTTTTTTTGTATACTGAACTTGAGCTCTTTGTGTGAAGGCTCGACGTGCTTTCTGGGCATTAAAAGGTATAATAAGGCTACAAGCACTTATCCGTGGCCACATGGTTAGGAGGCAAGCTGTTGCGACTCTATGCTGTGTTATGGGAATTGTCAGATTGCAAGCACTTGCTCGAGGAAAAGAGATCAGACGTTCTGACATTGGTGTTGAAGTTCATAGGAGATGCTTGGTAATGCTCAACAATTTCACTCTGATTAGCTTTTAAGTTTAGTTCTGTAACTATCTTTTTTATTTGTCTGATCAGGAGAATAAACTCCCTGAAGACTCTGTTGTTGAAACACATACTTACCTGGGAATCAAGAAGCTAACTGCAAATGCTTTTGCTCAGAAGGTATGCTTCTTCTGGCTATTACTCTGATTGAAACTAGTAAGTTTAGGAGAAGGTCTAAGTGAAATAATGATGGTGTTTTTTCTTATCAGCTTCTAGCTTCATCTCCAAACGTGATGCCTGTGCACTTAGACAATGGTTCTTCCAATTTAATCTGGTTAGAGAACTGGTCAGCTTCTTGCTTCTGGAAACCAATTCCTCAACCGAAGAAAACATCAGTCAGGAAAATTCAGAAGAAGTTTGCCAGTAATACTCAGATAGTGGAAGGAGACTTTGCTAAACCGAAGAAGAGTGTTCGCAAAGTCCCTGCTCCCAATCTCGACAATCCCTCTGCTGCACAGACACCATTTGAGTTTGAAAAGCCAAAACGCAGCAGCTTCCGCAAATATTCAACAAGCCAATCTATAGAACTACCACCAGCAGCAGAGCCTCCTCAAGTTGATCTAGAGAAAGTGAAACGTGGCTTGAGGAAAGTACATAATCCTGTAGTTGAGAACTCTATCCAACCTCAACCATCTCCAGAGAAGGAGATTGAGAAGCCAACTCTGGCTTTAAAAGAACCTGTAAATGCTGCCTGTGATGAAGAGGAAAAGGATGAAATGGCTGAGACTGTGGTGGACATAGTACACAGTCATGGACCATTGGAAAACAATGAAGCACCTGATTCTCCATTAGTCAACCAAATTGAAGAGAGCCAAGAAAATGTAATAGTTGAGGAAAAGGAGGATGTGAAAGAAGAGAGAACTCCCAAACAAAAGAACTCAGCTGGAAAGGAGAATAAAAAATCAGGGAAGAAGGATTCTCCGGTTACTACTACTCAAACTGTTGAGTGTCAAGAGAGTAGTAACGGGAACCAGAACAGTACAATACCAAGCTATATGCAAGCGACTAAATCCGCAAAAGCAAAGCTGAGGCTACAAGGGTCTTCTTCACCTAAGCAACAAGGTGCTGAGAAAGCCACTAGACGTTACTCACTACCATCTTCAGGTAATAATGCAAGAGTCACTTCTGATTCTCCTAAAACAACTAGAGTCTCAAACTCTGGTGGCAAAACCGGGAAGAAGACTGAGAAACATTCGTCCCGAGAAGGCAATGGTTAGTGTCCTATACAAGATTTCTCACAAGAAAATCTGTAGGTAGTATGTGTTTTCTTCTTGTCAACTAACTTTTCTTGGATTGGTTTTGGGTTTTGCAGGGAAGACAGCTCCTGTAGAGTGGAAGAGATGATCTTCATCTGGTATAAAAAGAGGCCTCTGATGTTTCTCACTCTACAGAGATGTTATCATCTATCTATATAGTTAGAGTATGTATTTTCTGTTTGTGTGTTTGTGTTGAGAATGTACATCATACGTTTGTTTTTTTTGTGTGTGGCAAGTTCATTTTCCGTTTTCATGTTACATTCCTTCTATTACCTTGAAAATCAACTTTGGATGGTTATGATATATGTATTCTCAATTCTTAAAAAAAAATATATCCATGAAGTTATAACCACTTGAAATAAATGTTTTAAATTTCATGAAATGGATTCATAGTCTAATAGTCCCAAGTTTGAAAGTATGAGTGGCTAAGTAACTAAAGAAGAAAAGCATAAAGTAGATAATCCATTGAGCTCAAAGAAGCAAGACTGGATCTTATTGCATGGAATAAAGAGCTTTGGTATTGAAGCACTTTTTCCCTTTTTAAGACGGCCTTCTTGCTCCTTGAATACCATTTGTTTCTTTACTTATCTTAGCATAACTACACCATATAATTTATATCCCTTGCTATTAGATCATCTATATATTAAAGCAGAAGGTAAGTCAGATCCTATATTTTTGTTTTATGATAGTGAGTTATAATGCCTAGTTTTCTGTATGAACATCAAACACACACACGTATGTATGTATATTTGCATATATATGTGTAGAGGCTGTCCATGTCAAGCAAAAGGGAATGTTCCAAAGATATCTCAATGCTCTTTGGTGATTCCATTTGATAGGGACATTTTTGTGTGAAAGACAATCCCCCAAAAAAGCAAACACAAGACTGCACTCTTTGCAGCTGTATTTGTATGTGTGTATCACACAATTCACTTATCCAACAAACATGAATGTATCTGAGTCTGTAAGTTAAAAGTAGAAAAAGTGGGGAAAAAGAGAGAGAGAGAGAGAGAGAGAGAGAGAGAGAGAGAGAGAGAGAGAGAAGTATATGCTTAGCTTCCCAGGAACAGAGTTTCAAATGAAAACCTTTTTTTGGTTCAAACTTGTCAGAAGAGAGTTCTTTTAAAGACTAAAACCACTCTTTATATATGCTTCCTCCTTACCAATCTTCTCTCCATTACAAAAAAGAGAGAAAGAGAGACAAACTCTTCTTCTTTAACCTTTTCCCTTTTATATAATCTCTCAATATTTTTATATACAAGCTGGTAGCTAATATCTACACACTGTAGATTTCTTCAAAATGGGTGTTTCGATTCTTCATAGAGGAATGATTTTTCTTGTTGTCATCTCAGTTTTTGTACTTCTACAAACGGACAAAGTCTCAAGCCTAAGATGGGAGAGAGATATGAGGCTGCAGCTACTGTCTGTTCATCCTTTGCGTGTTCTTGAAGAGTCATCATCATCATCAAAGGATGGAAGTATAGATACAAACCGAGACGTGGCGCCTTCTCCTTCCGTTATGTCCGATAGAAATGAATCAGTAAAAAGAATGATTGGAAGAGGATCCGATCCTATTCACAACAGATGCTAACATTATTCAAAAATGAAGAAACAATGTTTTGTTTCTGAAAGTAATAGCTAGTCTACACTCTTTCTGCAGTCTCTGTTACTATGTTTGTTTGTTTTTTTTAAAAGGTTTTCATTTGTAGTTTGTATTGAATCTTTGTCATTTAAAACATGTTTTGCATTATATATCTTTTGTTTGATGAATTATATATCTGAATATACAAGACATGATTTGTTCTTCGTATGATCATTTTGGTGAACAAGATTCATGAGGAGTTATGGTTCTTGAGCCCAAATCCAGACCAGAAAAGTTGTCGAGTTGGTTGGACTTTAAGTTATAAATAAGCCCATTTAACACTTGCAAGTAACTAAAGAAACATGGAAAACGAGAAACATTAGAGCATGTTTATTGGGAGGGTGCTTAAGGGGGTGTTTAGAGAAGTGGGGTGCTTAGTTTTGAAGAGAGAAAGTGTTGAAAGTGATTAATTAAGCACTTTCAACACTTTCTCTCTTCAAAACTAAACATTTCACTCCCTTAATCATCCTCTCTAAGCATTCCCAATAAACATGCTCTTATACTCTCAGGCTTCTTTAGATAACTAAAGAAGATATATCGTAAAATTTATAAATTATTTGATACGTAAAATGTTAGTTTCAGTCCCACCCAGATTCGGGGAGAAACTTGTTTGTAAATATTACAGATGCATTTACTTCATCCAAAGAATGTCGGAAGTCTCACCCTATTTGTTATTTGTATGATGATGCTCTCAGGATAGTTGAACTGCCTAAAATTTCCTTAGAAATTGGCCGAACAAGTAAATGATTTAATTTATTGAAGGCTGGAAACTGATGCTGATAGAGCTTATATTCAGGACCGGCATTGGTCTATATCATTTTCCATTTGTTAATATATCGCTTCACAAACTACACTAATGGCTTTTTACTTGACATATTCTCTCGTAAATTTTGATTTTTTTTTAATTTTTTGGACTTTTAAATCATTATTATGCTAAAAAATTATTATTATGTTTAGAAGGATAATTTTCTTAAGACAGGAAATACAAACTCAGTTGAAGCTAATTTAACCCAAAAAAAAACTTACGTATTCAAATAGAGTGAAAACTTGCAATGACTCGGATACGGTTGATATCATATAAGTTTTATTGAGATTTTTTATGCGTTAACTTTTGAGAAATGGAACATATAGTTTTATTTAATTAGGATAGAAGTACTTTAAATTAAAATGCGATTGTACTCGAACAATCTGTCAGTGTCTATTGCTTGTGGGAGCATGTCCCTTGGAGTGACTCGGATACGCATTTAGTTTGTTTATTTCGTGCTCCGGCTAGTGGTTACCATTCAACTGGCTTTTTCAATAAAATATTTTTTTTTCAATGAACTTAATACTCTTTTATGCAAAAGAATGCACGTTGAAAATAACGTAAAAATTAGGCTGGGTGCTGAGTTTTTTCTTCGTTTTATTTGTTTTTAGTCAACTCTGAATTTCTTCTATGTTTTCTATTTTTATCAGATAAGACACTTTTAGAAATGACATGAACGTTCTAATAAAATTTTAATCTAAATTTATCCATTAGGTATTGTACTTCTTCATCTTACTATACATATATTTACCCGCTATAATCTATCTAAGTTATGTCGAAGTCTTTTTTTTTTTTTTTGACAACTATGTCGAAGTCTTTTACGTACCAAATATAGATAAAATTAATTTTACAGTGAGTTCCTTTTGAAGGGACTATTTTAAAATTCTGTCAATAGTGGAGATGGATATAGTAAACACTCAACAACCCTATTTAAGCGATACAAAGGAGCATTTGCAAGTACACTTTTACTTCGTATCCAAAAAGAGTCTTTGATCATTTCCCCCTAAAACGAAAAAAAATATTAGAGTTTTTTTTGGAGATCAGTTTATAAAGATGAAGAAGAGGCAAGTCGTGATAAAACAAAGGAAAAACTTATACACAACGACTTCTTCTTCGAGCAACGTCCGTTACGTTGAGTGCCAGAAGAATCACGCCGCTAATATCGGTGGCTACGCTGTTGACGGTTGCCGTGAGTTTATGGCAAGCGGCGGTGAAGGAACTTTGACGTGCGCTGCTTGTGGCTGTCACCGGAACTTTCATAGGAAGGAAGTTGAAACGGAGGTTGTTTGCGAGTATTCTCCTCCGAACTCAATCAACTAATTAACAAAGATGTCAAAAAAGGCTGCTTAAGAGTTGAAATATTAGTTTCATATATAAGAATGTATTTATGTATTGATATGGTTATTGATGTTTACTCAGATAATGACATTAACCCCGATCTTTATGATTGTTTTTTCTTGAATCTTGATTTGGTGAGTGTTATATATTCATTTTCGGATATTGGTTTTTAGTAACAGAAAAGCATTTAGAGTTAAGTAGTTGTCTATTAGAATACAATGATCTGTAGATAATTTTAGTGATGGATTCTGATTCTGAAGACGTGAATAAACCATAAACCTTCCATAAACGCAAGAGTCCCCAGTCCACGTATCTTGGTTGATCTAATCACATTTGGATTGTAGTCTATATTTGTATGCTAATGTTGTAACTTGTAAGTTGATGCATAATTAATTAATAAATTTCTTCTGAAGGAGATGAAACCTTATGATAAGAGGAGTTGCGAGATGAATCCTTAGGAGCACTTGCGATCTCTTGCAATACTTATTTTTCGTTGTGTTTAAATATATTTGATATATATAGGCTATAGCACATGTGGCAAGCATATGGTCAATGACAGCAACAGAAAATGAAGATATACAGATTTGTAAATGCAACCAAAAAATAAGCGAGTTAAATCTCTGGTCTTCATATAGACCTATAGCTATAGATAGGCAAGTTTTATTTAAATAAAGGAGCAAATAAGTGAGAAAATTATCTTACTATAAAATAAAATTGAATATTAGCTTTGATCAAGTAAAAAATATGAAACTAATGCATACAAGTACCAATAATCATATGATCTTCCCTTTGTCTCTTTCTCTTGAATATTCGAACCACCCACTACACATACAAAAAGAGTCCTATAAAATATTCTCGAAATGTAAAAGAAGATACATTTTGTATCCAACAACATCATTTTTATTGCCATGGTCACTAGCCATTATCAAACTCTGTGGAGGCCAACAAAAAATAATAATTCAAAATTAAATTAAATATATATATACGTGTGAGTATGTATTAGTAGCGTGTGAATCATAATACTACAGTAGAACTTTTATGAATTAATATTCGATAAATTAATATACACTAAATATCTCTATAAAATAATATAATTTTATAGTTCCAAATTAAATTTTTGGTTCGATTAGTATATCGATAAATTAATATCTTTTTAAATTAATAAAAAATAAAATTTTGGTGTACTCCCAACATTATTAGTTTATAGAGGTTTCATTGTATTTTGATGTTTATGTTAAAGTAGTTTAACTAATAACATAACGGCCCACATTTCATATCATGCTATCAAATCGTTTAAGTTCATGTATTTTAGTTAGCTCAATCTACAAACTAAAGACTAAAGTTAACTCGAAACCATTACAAATTCTACATTGCCCCACTCACCACCATCTTCATTCTATTTTAACCCATCATAAATTTGATTTTTTTTTTTTTTGCTCAAAGTCTAAGTATGGTTAAAAAATCAATAACTCTTAATAAATCAATATTATGTGTAATATGAATTACTAGAAACTACCTTAAATTACTATGAATTACTAGAAACTACCTTAAATTACTAGAAACTACTATGAACAAAAAACAAACTACCTTGAATTACTAGAAACTACTACGAACAAAAAAAAAAAGTGGGGCAGTGAGAAAAATGGTGGGATAGTTAGAATAGTTATTTTCCAACTGGGGTATATCAGAATACTTTCCATGTTTGTTGCCAATAACACGCCAAAGAAAACATATTGGCTGGTTTATGCTCTCATCTAATTTGTTGGAAAAGACCATTGTAGTTTATTTATATCCATTATAATTTTGAAACTAGCTAAGTGTATATAAAATATCTATTATATTTTATAATTACTCAATCTTGTTCAATACAATAACAAGAGGGAATTATCCATTCACTGTCTTTATTTGTTCTCCTTTTAAGGGTCTTTGATTGAATCATCAGGAGTATCAACATTTTCTTAAAAAGATTCAGACCCAAGCAATCTTGGGAATGTCTGAGTTCATGAGACTGGTGTAAAAAGTCGAATACAATTCAAAACTCGAAACCATTATTTATCCATTATAATTTTGTAACTCTAGCTAAAATCATGTGGTTATCACCGAACATTTTGCCTTTCTCTAATCATTTGTTTAAGTGGTCCGAGCCAGAAGTTGCATTCATCCCATTCGGTGGACGTCATACGCGCCTGTTTTCCACAAAACATCAGACAGAAGTTGTGTTTCTTCAACATTTTACAAATGACATATAAATGAAGAGATAATAAATAACTGAAGAAAAAAAAAAGACAAATTGTACCTGTATTTGTAAAGCTGCACCAAAGTCATGTTTGTCCAGAGCTTGGCATAGCAGAGAGAGTTTTTCAGCAGCGTGGTTTGAGATGCGCTTATTATTGAGTTGCGAAAACAGAGCTCCTAATTTTCTTGAGGTATCTTCTATCTTCTTATCAGAACCTAATGTTTTCGACGTCTCTCTAAAAAGCCTTGTCAATGTAGCCACAATATGTTTCTGGTGGGCTGGAACATTCCATAACAGCATTAAACACAACAAATGACTTTGGTTAAAACAATTTATACAGAAACAGAAGCAGATAAATAAGATATATAAACCACATCCAATGGAGCTGAACAAAGTGAATGCTCTTTTTGTTAACGTTGTAAGAATGTCAATACCTGGTACATTGGAAGTATCCGCTGTCTGAACAGTTGGTGGTGGAGCTACAGGTGCAGGGGGTGGTTGAATAACTACCCGCTGTGTTGGAACCATGAGTTCCACTGGTGGAACAACATTTTGGTGAATCTTAGAGTTAAGATACAGACAAGTGGGTTGATGTGAGCCAGGACCTTGTGGTGGATTGTATGTTGAGTATGCTGATCGCTGGGGACATAAATTTTTTTGGTTAGTCAAAAACAACATAAATTAAATACAATGGTGATGGAAATGAATCATACAGTAGATGAATGAGAATCCATTGTTCTCTGTTGAGGAGGAGAAGGATTTGGAGACACTAAAGTAGTTCTTGATGGCTGAGCATTGGTTACTGAAGTTGTAGTAAAAGATGGCTGCAGAAAAGTAAAATTGTAATCAAGGTTGGTCCAAGAAAGTGATGTATACACATGTGCAGAAAGCCAAAATGTTTCAAAAAAAAAAAACCTGGAGAACTGGCTGAGCTTGGTTATATGGACTGGTAAGAACATTTGGTTGAGTCTGAGTTGGCTCCTGATAAACACTTTGAGAAAACCGTTCCCTCAATATTGAAATTTCAGGTGAGGAATCACCAAGCTCAAGAAGTTTTAAGAGCTTTATAGCCGTTGCAATAAGTCCTTGGCTGGCTAGTATCTCAGCATAACTCTCAAAGAGTTTGAGTAAAGAGGCACTGAATCTCTTGTTCTCGGTTGCCAAAGCAAGAACAATAGTCTTCTCCATAAGATCCTGTTTCAAAAGGAAAAGAAGGTTGAGTAGAGAAGTACATATTCAATGTTTTATACAAAGATATAGAATTCAGTAATGCCTACTTGAACACGCTCAGAATAAGACTTTCCAGCATTGTCTTTTACTAGGCTCATAGACCAGATGTCTACTGTTTTGTCTACATTGCCTGCGCAAATGTAACACAGAGTTGCAGCCAAAGTAAAACCAGAAGACAACAAATGTGAAGCAAGAGCATCACAGAGCCTTGTCCATTCATCTCCTTCTGCAAACTGTTTCTCAAAAGCAACATCCATGACAAGTAGTTAGTGACATCAAAACGTCTTGGATCAAAACATTTTTAATATCATCAATAAAATGAGGTTACAGTGCAGATGAGAGCAAGAGTTTCTTTCCAGAATTTAGCTGGCCTTGTATGAACAAGGCTCATTAAATCCTTGTTCACCATTGCAGAAACAACCTGAAATAAGATAAATCAAAGTATAAAATGGCAATAACCAACATATCAAAAGTAAAGTTGAATATAAACTAATATGTACCTTCATGTAAGGTGCATTGCTCATCTTAAGATATTTATCAAGAGTACTTTCCCACAATGTTGTACCACCAACGTGAGCAATAACCAAAGCATCAGCCATCTTGTTTGCAGATAAACAATGAGCTACTGCTTCTTTGTAATCTCCCACAATCAATGAACGTTGGATAGCTTCATCAAGTAATGGATCAGAGCTTTCTTGTTGAGTTTCTTCTACGTTTTCAGAAGAATATGTAGCAACAGCTTGATCATTTTGATCCTCAGAAGGTAAACTAAAGCCAAAATGGGTATGCAACTTCGTCTTAGCGTTCCCAGCCTCTTCAAGCATGAGTTGCAGCAAGCTCCATGTTTCTTTCTCCTCCTCGGATCTTCAGAAAACAAAGAGGACAATTCTAAGTTTCTGTTTGGGATGATTATGATTAAATTTTTCAATCACTGAAAATGACTTACTCTGTCTCTTCAGATTTCTTCTTGCACAAACTCCTTAGTGAAGTCTTCTCTCCATCTCCTAGTGCAGCATCAAATTCAGATATTCTATTCACTAAACTTTGTTCTGTGGCAAGGCTATGCAAGAAAACCTGACACATGACATAAGATAAGAGTCAAATAGAATGAATAAAAGATAAAACAGAATAATACAATGTCCTCTCTAAAAACCTACCACAGAAGCCTCAGGGAGCTTTGAGTTAGATGACACAAGCTTTCCTCCAAATCCAAAAGAGGCACTAACCGGGCGCTTCCACCATTTTGGTGCTGTTAAAGGAGCTGCTTCAAGAAGATTGTTCTCTCCACTACCATTGGAGCTGCAACCCTACATAGTACATACATTCTTCAGAACAATATCATTCTTCAGAACACAAGGGAATGAAACTAAGCCCTAAACAAACCATGAGGATGGACTAGTACAAAGGTTCATTATTATTGTATCTCGTGTATTATTCAGATTGGTCTAGTACACATACTTCAATCCCCAAAGAGATGTTCAAGAGGTACGTACCTCAAGGTTATAGACGCTAATTTGCCCATCAGCAGAAGATGCTGATACAACTCCAGGCATCTTTGGGGACCAATGAACATCAAAATTCGAATTGTTTACAGTAGTAGGTAACTCGGTCACAATCTGAAATATATTGGAACAAAAATGCCATTAATTTACATAAATTACTATATATCAAATTTATTGTTCTCTTTTACCTGTCCTGTCTTTGTGTTCCAGCAAATAGTTCGATTGTCTCTACCACAGGTAAGTAGATACAAGCTGTCACTTGGACACCACTCCATTGCAATCACACCTGATAACATAACAAGTATCACCACTTATGTGTTCACCAATCACAACAGGAACACAAAATCACAACATGGTACATAGATTTAGCTAAGCACACATAGCAAAAGGCATACCTCTGTGGTGGCCAACAAATGTGCGAACAGGTGATTGTGGATACCTTATGTCCAACAGCTAATAGCAAAAAAATATATCTTTAGAGACTAATAAAGAACCAAAATTATTTGAACTTTGTACAACATACACGTTAACTAGATTGATTACCTTCACAGAAGGTGAATAGTCATCATCTGATGCTATCATTATCTGATTACAGTTATCAGGGTCCCATTGCAATACTGAGCAGCTAATGAGACCTTTAAATCTGTCGCTTGATTCAGAATTTTTGAATCTGTTAATTGATAATAAGTGGTCATATCAGGTTATGATATAAGAGATATCACTAAGGATGTCTATTAGATAAACCAACACTTACCCTGTTATAACCTTCTTGTTATTCACGTCCCATATCACTAAGAAAACACAAGAACAACTAATAATCAGCAGAAAGTCGAATCAGATTATATATAGAAGGAAGGAGAAAGTAAGAGAAACCCTAATTCTCACTCACCAGTAGTCCCATTATATGAGGTAGATGCTAAAACATGTTTAAACTTTCTATTCCATGAAACAGAGGAGATTTCACTTTGCGTATAAGAACCACTAGCCTGTAACACAAGATATGAATCTGTAGGCATGCAATTTCAATGGTACTTTGAAGATAAAGAAAGATCCTGACATGGTGATGGTCTAAATTATATACCTTTAGAACATGAGAAGGCTCTGAAGGATTTGAAAAATCCCAAATGCAAATCATGCCATCATCATCCCCGGAAGCAAGTTGGTTTGGGGAGAGAACATTAAACTCAAGAGCACAAACCTAACGTAACATACAAGACAATGTAAGCATCTAAAAGAACCTACACAAGATAAGATTCTGTAAAAGAAATAACAACTCACAGGTCCTTTGTGTTTTGAAAGATATCTAACGTGCACACTTTCATTAAACTCGGAACTGCAACAAACAAACAAACAAACAAAAGTCAAATACTTGACTTGGTTCCCACGTAAACACTTTTTCATATAAAAACCCTAATAATTAAGGTTTTAGAGAAAGAGAAAAACTCACCGAATCAGAGAAAGTGGATTCCATAAACCAATACTCCCATCGACGAGGCCACCTGCGATGAGACCATAGGGAGATTCCTCGGATCCGGATCCATAACTTCTTCCCCAAGCGAGCCGAGTAAACCGCTCGGAGCTTGAGCACTGACCTAATAGTTTCATCTCTTGGTCTTCGGAGTGAAAATCGAGTTCGAAGATCTCGAGTTTGGAGGATGAGCTGAAAGACAGATCAACGGCTCCAGCCATCGTTCCGGCCGCCATGAACGGAGCTTCTGGTGCCATGGCAACGTAAGCGGATCTCTCAACTCTCTTAATGCAAGACATTGTAACAGTGACGCAAAGATGAATCTAACAAGAACAGAGTCACCGAGCGAGGAAGGCACTGAGAGATTTGAGAAGGATTTGATTTTGCGATGATGTGATTTATATAGTAAACGAGTAAGGGGTAGTATCGAAATTCTAGGAATTGGTGTTACGCAAACACAACCATTAACATCGTGACACGTCATCTTATGTTGTCTTTTTACGTTTGTCGAAAAGACAGAAACACCCCAGATGTATATTGCTTGGACAACAGTCGCACAAAGGTGTAAATACAATTCTGGTTGTCTGGACCGGCCCAATATATCGAAAAAGCCCTTGGAAAAAAAAATTGAAAGATATTATATTTTAAAAAATACAGTATTTTTTTTTAACTTTTAAAAACTTATGATAAGTGAAATAACTAAATTAACCGAATTAGACATTTATAATAACTTTAATTTTCTTTCTTTTATTTTTTCTCATTTAATTATCTATTTTTAACCATAGAAATAAACAAATAAAATGAAGAATATCTAGTTAACTTTCTAAATTTTATTAATAGAACTGTTTATTACTAGCGATAATTTTCAAATATTTCAAAAGTTAATTATAAATATTTAGTAATTAAATATATATTTATCTCAAAAAATTAACAAGGATATTATTAAGTTCGGATTTTACATATAAATAAGTGTAGTTTTCGAAATAAATAGTGTATTTCCAAATTTCAAGACTTAGATAGGGTTTTTGCCAATTATTTTAAATCTAAAGTGTGTTTTTTTTTTTTTGGCAAAAGTTTTGTTGCTTCTCATATAACCCAATAGCAAAAGTACATACACCTTCCGTTTTATGAAAGAATAAACTTTTGTTTTTTTTTGGAAAAGAAAACATGCTTTCAGTTTATATTTTAAATGAGGTTCTAAGCAGTAACTCCAATGGGAACATTCTTGAGTCTTGAAGTTCCGTAAAGGGTTTCTTCGAAACGGATAATCTCGTTCTTTGAACCATAAGCAACCTGAATTCTGTCTTCGAGGTTGACGATGGTCTTGTCGAGCACAGAGGTGTATCCATCACTGCTGAACCCACCAGCATTCTCAATGAGCAGGCCAAGAGGAGCCACTTCAAACAACAGCCTTAACTTTGCCTTAGCCGTAGGAGAAGTCACATTCGTGAAGATTCATTTCTCCTTCACTATAATCTGGTTAACATCAGGAACCATTCCTCCTGTGTATCGCAGTGTGTACTTCTCTTTCACGTAGTAATCAATCAACTTGCTGTATTCAGAGTTGTCAAACGTGGTTCTCAAGTTTCCTGGTGAGAACATTTTCCCTTCATTGATCTCTGTTGTCTCCTTAACATGCTGCCACTTCCCTTCATCTAAAGTGTGTTAGTCTTTGACTTCTGTTGATACTCTTTAGTATCAATTTTTTTTTATCAAAGATCAATTTTTTTTTTATCAAAGACCTCTGTTGATACTTCCCTTCTTTTTTTTTGTCATCTTTGTTTCTCATTAACTAAAATGTAAAAAAAGTCTGTTACAAGCAAACATCCAACCAACTAATATACAACACAATAAGGCTATCATCCCAAACCAAAAGAGCCTTAAAATTACGGACTTCGAGAAGACTTGTTTTCCTTTGAGAAAGCATAACTAAGGATCCGACTGTATGTCATAAATAGCGTTATATTTTTAGCGAGAAATATGTTTACTCTCACTTCAACTAAATTCATGCCAATCAGGATGAAAACGTTTCACCTATGTTTTCGCTAATCACTGTTTAAACAGAGTAAAAGTGTGTATTTTGTTCCTCTTGCTATGTGAAGAAGAAATGGAGTTACGCTCGATGTGACATTTTCTTTTTCTTTGGTAAAGTTCTTTTACTCCACTATTATTACTCTCAATTACTCTATATTAATTACTCCAAATTACTTTTGTAGTTACCAATCACACTCTAAATTAAAGAATATCTTTGATCAAAAAAAAAAATGAAAGAATATTAAAATCATGTTACGGAATGATTTGCTCATCATAATTCATGTGTATAAATACTACTTTCGTGTATATGTGTGCAGTTAAACAAGTAGTTAAATATGTCCAATGTGCTTGTCTGTTAATAACTTGTGTTTTTCCTTAAGACGAGTGCTATGAAGAAAAACAAACATTTGTTTTCCTGAAAATCTCCAATGTTAGTTTTGGATTGTTATTATTCCATAAGGACAATGATATGATATTGAAAAGATCTTTGATGTTTCCACTGCCAAACTTTCCAGCAGACGTCTAGGCAATTTATACTTGAATATGTGATACATATTGCTTAGAATCGAAAATCCATCTAAAACCACTCTTTCAACCTTATTTATTACTGAACAATGGGCATAACAATAAATACAAATCTATTCGGTTGGTCCGGTTCTTTTTCTCTTTGTACCACAATACCAGTTGTCATAACATTGTCCACATCTTATCTTCATGGATAAATACACAAAATATACAATTCGATATAAAGAGAAGAACTATTTGGTGATTGTGATCATTCGAATCATTCTTCGTTGGGGGAAGAAACGGTACAAAAGTGGAAGGTCTAAACATTTGAGAAAAAAATTGTATTCTCCTGATTGTCCCATTATTTACGTGTAATTCATATTATAAACTTTTGAATAATCAGTCTACACGGTGCTTCTCTTTTATTGAGCTCTATTGTTGCTAAAAATGTTGTCATTTTCAGTTCACTTGTTAATATGTATATTCAATTTTTTTTATTTTCTGAAAAAAAAAATTATATAGTTTCTGGCTAAAACACTATTTCTAAACCGGCTTCCAACTTCTAAATTAAAATTCGTAAAATGAGTGATCCAAAAATATTTGATTAAACTTAAAAGTGAATTGTTCGAAAAGAGCTTAAAAGTGAATAGCTCCTACTTTTATCAAACGAAAACAATTTTTAATACGATCGATAACTCTTTAAATCATATAAAACCACATCTAAAATACCTTTTTGTTTTCAAACTCTAACGTTCAAATGTACTATTAACTTTATGAAAAAGAATGCATTTATTTTATATAAAAATCTTGAAAAGGCCATAATTAAAATTGTGTTTGCAAACTGTCTGACTACTAACTATGACTTGGAACCCTTTCCTCCAATAAAATTATGTTTCCTCTATAAAATAGTGAAGATGCCTCTTCATGAACACATCGATCATTCAAAGCTCTTTCTTCTCTCTGCAAAATCTCCCATCATTTCCATAAGTTTCTTCTTCTTGTCATTTCTCTTTGAATCTTTTTTGTTTGATCTTTTGTATTTTATCACCTCATAAAGTAGCCACTAACTAAACAACATAACACAAAATAGAGATGGATGCTGAAAAGAAGAGTGCCCATCTTCGCCAAATCTCAACTCATAAACCACAACTACTTGTCCTCTCCTCAATCCAAGAGCAACCTTCTTCTAAGATCTCAGACAAGCCCACAATCAAAGCTCGTGTTGCTGATGTTGACTCAGAGATTGGAGTATTCGGCGCAGAAAAGTATTTCAGCATGAAACTAGATCATGTTGACGCCACGGTGGATATCACTAAGCAACACGAGAAGGAAAATAGAGAGGATCATCCTCATCCTCAAACTCAGTTGACCAAAACGACATCATCTAGGTCAAGACCAAGCCGACATGGAACTCCAAGTGTAAGATCTGAGTCAAGTTACAACAGTCAAACCTTTCTCATGAGGCTTAACAACAACAATGACAATAAGCAACGTAAAACAAATGATGTAAGCATCTCTTTCGGTGGGTTTAGATGCAACGGTCCATGCTCCGGGGTTAAAACAATCAATACCGACAAAAAGATATCAGGTAAAGGTCGAAATTATGATAGAGATTTTGTTGCTTACGACGCAAGAAAGAACATGGACAAAGCAAGATCCATTATTCCAATACCTATCCAAAGGTCAGACATCGCCATGAACCTCGAGAGAAAGCTCTCTATGCTTACATGGGACGCGATACCAAACCATAAGAACAACATTCACAACAATGGTAATAACTCTTCAATGAGCAACAAAACACAAGAAGATCAGGAGACAACAAGCGAGGCGAGTTCTGATTTGTTCGAGATTGAGAACATAACGAGCAGTGTCTATGAGCCGAGTGAGGCTAGCATTGGATGGAGTGTGGTAACTGGGAGTATGGCAGATCAATCAGTGATTTCAGATTTCGATATGATGAAGAAGGGCATGAGAAGTGGTTCGGTGGTTAAAACCAAACCGGTGGTTGCTGAGAAAGTCCGTTCGGGTGGGTTTTTGTCGGGTTGTAAGAGTTACAAAGCCGTCTCGGTTGTTGATAGTACTAGAAATGTTAAAGAAGCAGCCAAAGTTGATCATCACGAGATGTCTCAGCATAAGAAGTTTAAAACTGAGATTAAGATTCAAGACCTGAGCTTTCTTTAAGAAACAGTGTTTGCGTGTGTGTTTTTATATATCATAGCTATTTTCAAATGTTTTATAATATTTGATCGTGTGCATGTTAATGGATTTTGATGATTTGTCTCTTGCTGGTTTATATTATGAAACCCTATACTATTGTAGTTTTAAGAATATAATTCAATGGGAAAAAAACTCATAAATTTATGAATTTTCGTAGAATTAGATTTTACTATATTCTTTGGAGTGATCTAATTTTCAATGGTTTTCTTCTTTTAAAACGTATCGAATTGAAAGGTTAAGAGGTGACATTGGAATATAAGGGTTATCATTTCTACACCACATGTTCACTGTATCATATCCATGCTATAAGCATTGATTGGAACGGTTTATATAATAAAAACGTCGTGATTCAATCTCTCTCGTGAGTCTTGAGCCCACGAATTATGCATGTGGATAATAACCAATAAGAAGCGATGATAACTTGACTTCGAGACAACGAAGTATTAATTAGTTTATGTGATACAAAAATTGGCATTAACATTTGTTATGTATTTGTAGCCATTCAATTGCAAACTTATTGGTTAGTAGTAAATGTGAAGGGACTGTTCTCAAACTGGGACCAATTCCATTACTCAAAAATGCATATGTTAATCTTTCTTATATATAAATATAAGTATTGTGGTACCACCACAAGCTATGAAGAATGTTTTCAACAATATTAAGTACTCTGTGACCACCTTACCCAATTCCATTCAATCTTTAATAAGAAAAAGAAGTATACCTGTTATTATATATATACACACATAAATTCCCAACTAAAGCCAAACAACTCCAATAAATTGAACATTGAATAAGAATAATGCTATATTTTTCTCTCTAAAATGCGATTCTCTTAAAATAACCATGAAAGTGGAGTAGTTAGAATAATTAGTTCCTTTATTTTTTTAAAAAAACGGAGTGTACATTCTTCTAGTGACCCATGTTTGTTTCGATGAGAAGTGTACATTTGTTCCACTAGCCCGTAAGGCCCCTTAGAAAGCCCTTTATAAAGCCCATGTAGATAAAATATTAAGCAAGCTGCTGCAACTCACATATTTGTTTACTAATCCAGGCTAACGATTGGGATAAGAATATTAATTTAATACTCACAGAACTTGTAGCAAATACTCCCTCTGTTTTTAAATAAGTGTCATTTTGACTCTTTGCACATAAATTAAGAAAATTGTATAATAGACTAATATATCCCTATTTAATGTATGTTTAATTAAATGAAAATAATTTAAGTAAAATACTATTGTTATTCAAAAGGGTAAAAAATAGATTTAATGTACAAAATTACATTGAGATTGTAGAATGACATTTTTTTGAAACAAAATTAAAAGGCTAAAGTGACACTTATTTATAAACAGAGGGAGTATGTAGATAGGGTCATCATAATACTGTATTAATGCCTCTAAGCTTTGATAACTAACTTGAATCAGTCACATTTTTTGTTTTGTAACAACTTTAATTGGTCACTTATTACATGATTTATTCTTTAATACTTTCTCTGTTTCAATCTAATTGACATTTACTAGTGTTAAAAAAATATAATTGTCATTTTGAATTTTTATCTATAGATTAAAAAATATTTAATTTTATATATTTTAGCGAAAAACATAATTATTTATACACCAAACCATATTTGAACCAATAGAAAATAGAATACTAAATAAAATTAATAAATTTTGCATTGTAATTATAAAACACCATTTTTTTGAAACAAAAATTTTACTCTACAACGAGAATAAAATTGAAACGGAAAGAGTAATTAAAAAAGAAAACTTATAACAACATATTGTTAAATTGTTAATCAGTGTTTCAAAATCAGTGATTAGTAGATGTAATAAATGTTAAATGATAAACAAAAAGAAAAGAAACATATTCAAATCCCTAAACTACCCAGGCTTTCATTCGACTTGACAAAAATACCCTTCAATGTAAAACACGGCGTCATCTTATTGGTCAACAAAAACCCTCAAAACCCTAAAGCATTTAGCCTAACTTCACGCTTTTATAGATCACAAGAGAGTTAGGGTTTTAGCAGTTAGCTCTTGTGACGGAACCTTAAAGCAGAGAGGATAAAAAAACCTCTGTGGATTAAGCAATTTAGGGTAAAAGTAAGAATGGTGGCTGACAAGAGCAAGAAGGCGAAGACTGATGAAGAAAACGTCGAGCAAATCGATGGAGAGCTTCTCCTTTCTATTGAAAAGCTTCAAGCCATTCAAGACGACCTCGAGAAGGTATAATTTGTGAAAAAGAAACACTCTTTTTGTCTCAATTGGATTGCCCTTCTCTCGTTTAGGCTTAATATCATCCAAAGTCAGTGTCTTTATGTATGTTGTTGTGTCTGAATTGGATTTCCCTTCTCTCGTTTAGGCTTAATATCATCCAAAGTCAGTGTCTTTATGTATGTTGTTGTGTCTGAATTGGATTTCCCTTCTCTCGTTTAGGCTTAATATCATCCAAAGTCAGTGTCTTTATGTGTGTTGTTGTGTCTGAATTGGATTTGCCCTTCTCTTGATTAGGTTTAATATCATCCAAAGTCAGTGTCTTTATGTATGTTGTTGTGTCTTTCAATTGAAAGTTTGTTACACACCTTTGAGCCCTTATCTTAGTGATCTTGTTTCGTTATACTTTTTGTTTGGTAGATAAACGAGAAGGCTAGTGATGAAGTGTTGGAAGTGGAGCAGAAGTACAACGGTGTAAGGAAGCCTGTCTATGACAAGCGTGGCGACATCATCAAATCCATCCCTGATTTCTGGCTAACCGCTGTAAGGATGATTCTCTGTTCTGTTTTTTTCATTGCAGAGTTTGTTTAAAACTTATTTTTTGTCTCTAATTGGAATTGGGAATGTGTTTCCTTTTGGCAGTTCTTGAGTCACCCTGCTCTTGGTGAGCTTTTGACTGAAGAAGACCAAAAGGTTTGTGTTTTCCTTATACCTTTCCCTTGAGTGATCACATCATAGTCAGATCCTGATTCATTTTTTTTCTTTGGTTTGGTAGATTTTCAAATATCTTAGCTCTCTGGATGTTGAGGATGCAAAAGATGTGAAATCTGGATACTCTATCACTTTTGTAAGTTTATTTGTTTCATCTTCATCTCTTTTTGATTTTACGAAAGTTAAGGATAAGGTTGTAGTTTCTTGATATACTGATTGTTGTTAAACTTGTGAATTGCAGAACTTCAACCCCAACCCTTATTTTGAGGATGGAAAACTAACTAAGACCTTTACCTTCCTCGAAGAAGGGACAACCAAGATCACAGCCACACCTATTAAGTGGAAAGAGGGCAAGGTAATTTAGATATCTATTGTATGGCATAAGCTTACTTCTTGAATTGTCTTTCACTGTTTTGAACTATGTTTTTCAATTATGAAGGGCTTAGCAAATGGAGTGGATCATGAGAAGAATGGAAACAAACGTGCATTACCTGAAGAGAGGTATATAAGTCATCTCCTCGTTAAGTGATATTACTGTTATGTTTAGTAAAATCTCATGTCTAATGACTCTTTATTTTAACTATCCTTTTCAGTTTCTTTTCCTGGTTTAGCGATGCTCAACACAAGGAAGAAGACGTTGAAGTAGAGATTCACGACGAGGTAATGATAGAGTGACTTGTTTGGTAGAGTAACATCATGTCTAGTCCAGTGTGAACTCAATGTTTCATTTTGTATCAGGTTGCGGATATCATCAAGGAAGATTTATGGGCCAACCCTCTCACCTACTTCAACAATGTAAGCTATTCACCTTTTTCTAATTTAAACATTGGTTAGAGCATATTAGTTACTTGAAGGTTTTGGTAAATCATTATGGGCAACTTTGTAGGAGGCTGATGAAGAGGATTTTGATGATGAAGATGACGAGGTAAAACATCTAATTTCCTTTGCTTGGTTTAATAGCATCTTTGATATGATATTATTAGATAAAAGTTTAGTTAGACATGTCCTGAGACAGAACGTTGTTTTATGTAATGTCTAAAACAATTCCACTGTTAGCTTTTTACCTGATTAGTTTTTTCATTCCAAAACTCTAGGGGGAAGAAGGTGATTCTGATGAAGATGATGACGCTGAAGGCGAAGATGGTGAGGAATGATGAGAGAGGCTTCCCCAGAAACCACATTTACTTACATGTCTTCTATAACAGAGTGTGTAAAGTTTGTGTGTTGAAAATTATAAGCAAAATGGCTCATGACAACAACATACAAGACTAGCTTTTCATGCTTCGAAAAAAATACTTTCTTAGCTATTTTAATCTTTTGTTTGTAGGAGACCATTTTCAGTTTTTATTTCAGGGTCCTGCTTAAGTTGTTTTAAATTGTTTTTGAGTCTCACATATCTATTGTCTTCTACTCTTCTTATATAAAGGATCTCCTCTCTTCTATGTGTTTTAGTATCTTATGAGCTCATATACACTGTTGTTTTCTGTTTGTGTAACTTCTCTCAAAAACATTCGTGTTTTGTGAGAAAATAACATAAAACTAAACGTGGCTCTGTTTTCTACTACCAAGATCTTGATGATATCCATTGGATCTTCAGTTTACATTAGTTTTTTTGGTGCAACAGATATATGGAATACCAACCAGATCATAAAAATATATTTTTGAAAGTGGTCTAACAATGATGATGTAAAAATCTCTCTAAACACAACTTTATAAACACGTACAAGAAAAGTTACCGTAAAAATTAACGTGCAACAAAACCAGTTTCACATTTCTACGTGGGCGGGCATTTAACTACAAGAATCACCTGAAAATAGTTAATTTATAAATGTAGAGTTAATATCAACGGTTACTCTTAAGCCGCTACAAAGATTATTGTAACATCAGTTACTGTTTAATTCAACAGTTAAATTCTTGATTGGCACCGTTCGTTACAACTTACAGTATGTTTATTTAATATATGTTTACAAGTAGACTCATTTCTAAGATTATTTTTCATATGAAATTCTTAAATGCGAATAGTTTTCGATTTGAAGGATGTCATAATATAGAGCTTCTCAGAGGATCAAATGAAAATGCGAATAGTTTTCAGAACTTGAATGATATCATAATATGAAATCTCCTAGACCAATTAAAGATTCTAAATTTCAAAAATATATCATTTTTTGTCTATTTTTTTAAAATACTATATATCACGAAATAACACATGTCATTCAGAAGTGGTTCCAAAAACTCTAATTATATAACATATCTATGATTATTTATAACTAGTTAAATACAAGACTTATAATTCTTATGGATTTTTTTTGGAGATGGTCTAAAAGGGTCAAATGAACTACGATTAGATTAGATATCGGTCAGATATAAATAATCATTACTAACAGCGTGGGAAATCTAATAAAGTACTTAACGTACAGACATGAGACAACAAATATCATTGTCACACAAGGCGAGTAGAAACAAACAGTTCTACAACTTCAACTTGTGTATGAAAAGCTGATTCATACTCTTTCCGTTTTTAAAAGTTAAAAGTTATAGCTTTTTCACATATTAAGAAAAACATAAAATTTTAATTATCAATACATTATTTATTATAAATAATCCCTATATTTTTTAATTAATAAAAATTTTAAAACTAAAATTATTTTTTTTAGAATCTATAAATTTTTATTAAATTACACATTGAAAATGTAAAAAATACATATTTTAAAAATAAATATTATTTCTAAAATGTTCATTTTTTTGAAAAGGAAGATAGACCTTTAATTTAAAGCACAGATAACAAAATAACAAAATAACTAGAGTTTCACCCGCACATCTGTGCGGGTATATTTTTCATTGTATAAATGTATAACTATTTTTTTAAATATATGATTTTTATTTTAGTTTTAATTATAATTATATCTAACAACAAATAAAGAAATAGTTATTTTATAAAAAATATTTAAATTTTTTGGTAAGATCTTGTTAGATTTTTCAACAGATTTTGTTATATTTTAATTTATTTATTCTTAATATCCTTATTAATTATTAAAATATTTTGCAAATAATATATATTTGATTGGTTAATGTAACAATCAAATATGTTAAATTAATAACTAATGGCATAGTCCAATATGACTCATAAATAGTAGATAAATTTAGTACTTCTCAGAAAATTCTAAACGTTCTTATTGGCAGTAAGCATTGACACACAACGCGAGAAAGACAATCATATGCTGCATGCAAAGATTTAGAAAAGAGACGTCTATTGTAATTTTTATTAATTAATTCTAAACGTTCTTATTGGCAGTAATCATTTACATCTTTCTCGTAACTCCAAGTTTTACTGGGCGGGCAGTCAATTAGCTGTCAATACACACTTTTTCCCGTAGAGTTTATAACTTCACTAAGAGCATCTCCAATGTATTACTCCATTTTCTACTCTAAAATGGAGTAACTCCAAAATGCAGTTGAGTTTTACTCCAATGTATTACTCCATTTTCTACTCCAAAAGAATATTTTTAATATTATATTTATTTCAAAATTAGGAATATCACCTTTCATTTATACTATTTGCAAAACAGTCCATTTTAAATTTATATCATTTCTATTAAATACAATATTAACCACAATTAAATTTTTATTATATAAATAAAACTACTCAACAAGGCTTTAAAAGAATACATTTAATACATTAAAAATTACATTATATAGCTTAAACAAAATAATACATCAATTCTAAATTATTCATTACAATTATAATAATTTTCCCACAAATGATCAACTAATGCATTTCGAAGTAAAAATGAGCTTCTTTATCTTTGATTTCTCTGAAATCAGAAAGAAACTTTTGGAACCTCACATTATTATTTTCTTCAATTTCAATTTTCCTTGACATGACTTTTCTTTCAACTTCAATTGGCACTTCGAGATCACAATCATCTTCTATTATCATGTTATGTAAGAATTTAATAATATTTTATCAGATTATTTTAATAATTTTAATGGATCCGAAAATGATTTATCGGATTATTAAGCAATTATATTTGTTGTAAGTTTTATTTTATGTTATTTCTTTTGTATGGTGCTTATCTTTCATTTTCTATATGTATGATCTTTTATGTTTTATATTATATATATTATGTTGTATAAAAGAGTTCATTATATGGTTATTTATATAATTAAAAATATTAACAGTAAATTTTAAAATATATATAGTAAAATAATATTAATATACTTATTTATAATAATATTTTTATTAAAGACGAGGCTATTTATATAATTAAGAAATATTAACAGTAAATTTTCTAATATATAGTAAGATAATATTAATATACTTATCTATAATAATATTTTATTAAAATTGAGGCTATTTATATAATTAAGAAATATAACAGTAAATTTTATAATATATATAGTACTTATTTATAATAATATTTTATTATAAATGAAACATATATAAATATGGAGGACTATTTGATAAATAAAAAAGTTCAACTCCATTTTGGAGTAATGAGTTGGTTTACTCCATATTTGGAGTAATCATGTTTGTTACTCCATTTTGGAGTGAGTTTTGGAGTAGGGTTGGAGAAGATTTTACTGCAAAATGGAGTTTGGAATGGGTTTTGGAGTGGGGTTGGAGATGCTCTAACTCCATATTCTAACTTCTCTTTCCATACCTACCAATATATACTTATTTATCTACATCTCTTTCTCTCTCGCTTTGATTAGTGAATACTGATCATATGGAGTTTGATAAGGTATCTGGCGAAGAAGATAAGTTAGTCGATCTAGAGTATTTCAGTTTTCAAAGGTAAAGAAATTGATCATGTTCTCCTTCTTGCATGTTGATACTAATTTTTATCTATTCCTAATTTAATTGTTGTCTGCTAATTACTGCAGCGAGTTTACCAATAGTTTCTTTCAGTTCGAAGATAAAATTCTTTCCTCTGGCAAGTATGATTCTCATCTTACATGTGCGGCAAGCTTTCTGGCCTTTCCTGATCTTGAACCAATCTCCATCAACTCTCCTGAAGGTACACGTATAATGTATAACATACATGCACCACCAAATCAAAAAAGTTGGGAGACCATTAACTTTTTAGATTAATCTTAATAAAAAGTTTGACAATTTTAAAGTCATGTGTTCTATATATAGTAGTTCTTTAAAATTTAACCGGTCTTGTATACATGCTGACTATTATCATTTTGTTTATACAGATCCACTTGAAGAGTACGGTTCTGTTTCGTGGTCTGCGAAAGAGTCCATGTCAAATGAAGATAACAGAGAAGATTGTTTGGTGAAAGAAACGGAAACTCAAACTACCGAGAAGATTAGAGACAGAGAAGACTTTGCTTCTGATTGCTCTGTTTCAAAGCCATTGTCAAAGGAAACCATTTCATTGTACTATCACATGTCGATAACCCAAGCGGCTAAGGAGCTTAACATTGGTGTAACTCTTTTGAAAAAGAAATGTCGCGACTTGGGTATTCATCGTTGGCCTTATCATAAGTGGATGAGCCTACAAAATGTCATCAATAATGTCGAGGTATGAACTACCCATACACCTACTACGATTAAGTTGTAACATGTTGAAATTTCTAAATATTTTTTTCACGAAAGAAACAACTCAAACTCTCTAGTGAGTCAGAACGTAGGTATCATATCGTGTACTTCATTTGTTTCATATTAATTGTCATCGAAAAAAAAAAGTTTTGTTATAAAATAAATATTGTTTTCAACTTCCAATACAAAATTTATTATTTATATTACAATTTATTTCTATTAGTTGAAATATGGTTATATATATAGGTAATTGTGTTTTCATATAAAAAAATATGCAAAATTAATTGTTTTATTAGTTTGTGTATACAAAACTAAAATGATACTCTCTCCGTTTCAGAATATTTATCATTCTAATCTAATTTTTTGTCACAAATTAAGTGTCGTTTTAGAGTTTTGAGGCAAAATTTATTAGTTTATTTAATACTTCTTCCGTTTCATATTAAGTGTCATCGTAGAGAACTTTTTTGGTTACAAAATAAGTGTTGTTTTTGTTTTTAAATAAGATATTTATTAACTTAATTATGTAACTTGTTTTTCTATTGGTTAAAATTTGGTTAGGTGTATTGGTAATTGTGTTTTTATATAGGAAATATGTAAAATTAAATGTTTTCTTAATTCGTGTGCACAATTTTAAAATGACACTAATAATGAAACAAATGGTGTATTCTATTTTTCTATTGGTTGAAAAGTGGTTAGGCGTATAGTTAATTATGTTTTTAACTTAAAAATATGTAAAATTAAATATTTTCTTAATCTGTGTGCAAAAATTTAAAATGACAACTAAAGTGAAACGGATGGAGTACTTAATACTCTTTATGTTTCAATTTAGTTGTCTTTTTAAATTTATATACACAAATTAAGAAAATATTTAATTTTGCATATTTATTAGATAAAAATAATATTATTTATACACATAACCACATTTTAACACATAAAAAATAGAATATCATATAAAATTGATTAATTTTACATTAAAATTATATATAAAACGACACTACACTACAAGAAAACTAAGAGTTTACTAAGAAATTTTACTAGGAAAATAATTTCTCGTAAATATACTACGAACTTACTTCGGATTTACGAGGAAGCCAAGTTTACGAGTTTCCTCGTAATGGTACGAGAAAACCATTTCCTCGTAATGGTACGAGAAAACCATTTCCTCGTAAGACCGTAGTAAACTTATGAGGAAACTACGTGGCAAAAGTCCATTTCCTCGTAAGTTTGAAGTGGATAAGATTTACGAGGAGGTAAATCATTTATTTTTTTTAATAATTTTTATTATTTATTTAATTTTTTTTTAACGTTATTAATCTTTTTATTTACAGGTTGCCCCTAGGAAAAATGGGCGTATCGTCGGGATTGGTTCTGTTAACGATGTTCCCACAGCGACATCGTCTTATGCTCAAGAACATCACGATGTCAATGCTCAGCTGCGTTCAAAGTTGAAGGCGATACAGTCTCATGTGAGTTTTCTCACCGATGTCCTGGACATTTTGGCGGTGGAAAACCCGCAATTGGCGGAGATGTTGCGTGTGAAACGGGAAAGCGGAACGCTTCCAACCCAACAGCATCCACCGTCACAGTCACAACCGACAACCAACCTTGCCGAGGAGTTGGCGAGCCGGGACGACTTCGTTCGGTAATTTAACGACCATCATTCGTAGTTTTTTTATTGTATATTATTAAATTTAAAACTTAATTGTATATTATTTAGTTTTTTATAAAATATTTTGTTATTTCTTTTTTTTATTTATAATTTGTTTTATTTTAAATTTTTAAAATATATTATTTATGTTTATAATTAATATTTTTTTAATAGGGAAAAAATGTTTCAAAGTAAAATTCTCGTAATATATTCGAAGTAAAGTCCTTGTACATTTTACTAGTAAGATCCTCGTAAACCATTACTACGAGTTTACGAGGAAATGTGTTACTATGACTTTACGAGGAAACCTCTACGAGGAAAATCGTATCCACGCGTTTACGATAAAAAGTTTCCTTGTAAATTAGTTAGGACCTTACGAGGAAAAAGACTTTAAAATGAACGTGTTTCGACGAAATGCGTTTCCTCTTAAGTTAGGAAATAACGAGTAAAAGTCATCTTAGTAAATGACGATTTTTCTTGTATGTTATTTTGAAATGAAAAATTTACTCTACAACAACGTATAAACTATAAACCGAAACAGAGGGTGTATGAAAAATAGAGAATATAATTTTTCTTTTCCATATTTTAAGTTTTGTGATTTTGTGAATTTTTGATTTTATAACCAAGTGGTTGTAGTTCAGCCGTTGAGTTAAACTGGGTCAAGGTCAGAGTTCGAATCTCAACTGCTACATATACCCTTTATTAGCCTTCTACTAAGCCAATGTTAGGTGCTACAAGTCAAAGATGAAAGGAATTTGATACAACTATTTCGTAACTGAAACAGGAGAAGTTGGAGAAAGGGGAAGGGAACGCAGATGAGCTAAGAAACGATTTGGAAAAGCCCAAGAAGGAGCAGAAAATAATTGTGGAGTTTCCAGATTTGGAGGTTGAGGATGAGATAAAAAGACCGAGACAAGCCTGTTTCAGGGCTAACCATATCTCTATAATATTATTTGACAAGTCACTTTCTTATGTGTCGCAATCACGTTAACTCTCACGCTGGTTGATTACTATGATACCCTTAATGAATTAAAAAAAAATACATTTAAATATTATTATTTCCTTTTAATTTTTTTTTTT